TGCGTAGCCCGATTTTCTCCACGTCGAAGTCGCCGGTTCATCGCCGACGCATCGTCGACGCGGCGCGGTCCTGCGACCCGATCTGCTGCGGCCCCAGCTGGGAGGCCTCCAGGAGAGCGAGAGCGACGAGGAGGACCTGGGCGGCGGAGGCGGCGCGCCCACGGGCGGCGCCGCGGGCCCGGCCAGGGCTGCCGTCAAGGCGAAGGCCAAGGATCGACTGGACGTAGGAGTGGCCATTCGCCGGAGGTGACCTTTGGGTGCGGGCCCAATTTACCAGCCTCGAACGTATCCCTATCCCTAAGATCGACACGCCAAAAGGCGATGACAATCTCAGGGATTCGCCCTCAAAAATTACCCCTTTGCGACCCTACCTAGAAGTTGGAGCCCCTAGGACAGCAGCACGAGTTGCTATGCTATGCTATGCTATGCTATGTCATGCTATGTTGTGCTATGCTATGATATGATTTGCTATGCTATGCTGCGCTATGCTATGCTATGCTATGCTATGCTATGCTATGCTATGCTAATATATGATATGACATGTTGTGCTATGATATGCTATGCTAAGCTGCGCTATGTTTTGCTGGGCTATGCTATGCTATGCTATGCTATGCTATGCTATGCTATGATGCGCTGTGCTATGCTGTGCTGTGCTGTGCTGCGCTATGCTATGCTATGATATGCTATGTTGCGTTATGCTATGCTATGCTGGGCTATGCTATGATATGCTGTGCTGCGCTATGCTATGCTACGCTCTGCTATGCTATGCTGTGGTCTGCTATGCTAAAGCTCGGCGAAGCTAAGACGAAGGTAAGCTAAGGTACGATAAACCTGAGCTAAGATGAAGCTAAGCTAAGCTAAGATGAAATAAGATAAGCTAAGATGAGATAAGCAATGCTAAGCTAAGGGGACGCAACTGGGGGAACCGCGGGGCGGATGCCGGGGGAACCGCCCGGGGCGTGTTCCACTGCCCAGCCCCTTTAAGCCAAGAGGGTAAGAACCCTTCTAGGCAGAGCCTAGGTAGGGAACTAAGGGAATCCCTAAGATTGGCATCGTGATGAGGAGGTGCCCAGCATAGGGATAGGGATATGTTCCAGGCTGGTAACCAATGGCGTCCCCCGATCGCCGAGCGTGATGCGATGGCAGCGTCTGGCGCGCCCGTGTTCGGTCGCCCCGCGGCCCCCGGCGAGCCGCGCACCGAGGGTCACCCTTTGCCCGGGGTCACCTCCTGCGTGCAGCCGATGAGGAGAAGCCGAAGGAGAAGCCGCGGGACGTGCCGAAGGAGGAGGAGCAGGTGCCTCAGCAGGAGGGGGAGAGGGTCATCGACAACACTTCCACCCTCGATGCGCTGGCCGGCCTCGGACTGTGTCCAGCCAACTTCGAGTGGTTCGAAATCAACCTGGCCGACCCACCAGACGCGAACTGCGGCATCTGCCAGTACAAGATGTCGGACGGTTACCGCTGCGGCGGCGGCACACACTTCGCTTGTCTGTATTGCATCGAGAACTACAGGAAGAATCCGACCTGAGGGGCACGTCCCCCTGGATTCGTTCTCGCAGATTGACGAGAGCCATGACGGCGACTGCGCTGCACGAGTGAGTGATGCAGCTGGGCGTTGACCATTGAATCATCTCTCTTTCGCAGGGTCGGCTCGTGATTTCTCTGCACAGATGAGCTGCGCGCGTGTGCTTACTCTTCCTCCTCCCAAAGCCTGCGAGGCTGCTTCCGTTCAAAGCCAACCCCCGAGCCGCTCCCAGGCACCATCCTGGCCGGTCCACCGAGCCGTGGCCTCGAGGGCCTCCAGGAGGCTCGACGACGACGGCGACGAAGGCCACGACGACGAGGCCCGCGACGACGGCAGAGCCGACGACGAGGACGCAGAAGCCTGCCACGGCGGCGGCGGCGAAGACTGCGACGAAGAGGTCGCCGGCGACGGCGACGTCGAGCCGACGAGCCGGCGAGCCGACGGCGAGGCGCAGCGGCCCCCGCCGCCCGAGAGCAGCGGACGGCCGCCGCCCGAGAGCAGCGGGGGGCGCAGGCCGCCCAGGCCGCCCCCCCCGCCCCGCGCCCCGGCGGTGCCGTTGCGGGGCGCCCCGGCGTCGCCGAGCCTCGTGGGCCGCCAGGCGGGTGTGGTTGCGCTTGGGTGTGGTCTGCGACCTCCTCCTCCTCCTCCTCCTCCTCCTCCTCCTCCTCCTCCTCCTCCTCTCCTCCTCCCCTCCTCCTCCTCCCCCTCCTCCTCCCTCCTCCTCCCCCTCCTCCTCCTCCTCCTCCTCCTCCTCCTCCTCCTCCTCCTCCTCCTCCTCCTCTTTCTCCTCCTCCTCCTCCTCCTCCTCCTCCTCCTCCGTCGTCGTCGATCCTCGTTGGCCGCATGGGGGTGTGGTTGCAGTCGGGCTGCTGAGAGAAGGGACGATGAACAAGGAACGAAGAGCCCCTCTTTGGCCCCACAAACGCGCCTGCGTGCACGAGGAGGGCCAGAGGAACAGCCATGGAAGGACCTGAGGAATATGGAGCCCCTTTCTTACCCAAACTGTTCCTTATTTCAGCGACTTGGCTGTGCGCTTGGGTGTGGTCTGCGATCGGCGCCGTCGGGGCTCACGGGTCGCCACGCTGCTCCAGAGGTCCGATGAGCCCACGTCGGGGCGCGGCAGAGGTCTCCGTCGAGGTCCTCGCCCGCCCCCCCCCCCGGGCGTGGGTTACAAGCCACACCCGTTGCAAACCACGCCCTTCAGGGTCGCCGAGAGTTGTTCGTCACTGTTGTCGAGATGTTCGCTCCGCGTTGCCATCGTCGGTGTTGATGCCCTTTGGATGGAGGCAGTGCCCGATGTTTGTTGCCTGCCGTCTTGAGTTCTCCTGGAGCTCTCTCGTCGCCACGGCTGAATTCCAGCGGGAGCTCTGACCGGAAAGCGCTCCGTGGACTGACTGTTTTTGGGGCAAGAGGATACTCAGCTCCAGGGGATGAAGAGGTAGGAGAATCGAGGTTTGGGTTTTGTTCCCGGCCCATTGTGGAGCGGGGGGGGTACGAGCAAAAAATATCAAGGCGAAGGACCCAACCATATTATGCAGTTGTGAATGCCGCGTTGTGGTAACCGCTTTCGGTGGAGTTCCCGATGGACTATCAGACAGGGCCACGAAACGCGTGAGGGGTGTGCCGCAGTGGTAGTGGGTACCGAAATAGGGCGGGCCCATTGGTGCCTTCGGTGGAGCTGCGTGTGGAGGCACGAAACGTGTGAGGGGTGTACCGACATGGTGCACTACATGTGGACTTTGCCACCGGCCTTCGGTGGAGCTCTACATAGGCTGCGAAACGCTGTGCTGGGCGGGGGAGACGCATGTAAACCCTGCCGCTGTCACTAGGACCTTCGGTGGAGCTCCTTCTGGGGCCACGAAACGCTGTATTGGGTGGGGGAGACACATATGGACTTTGCCACAGGGGTCGTTGGTGGAGCTCCCTATGCGGCCACGGAGCGCCGTACTGGGCGGGGGAGACGCATGTGCACCCTCCAATTGGGGCCTTCGGTGGATTTCCTCATGGGCCACGAAACTTTGTACTGGGTAGGGGAGACACATGTAAACCCTGCCAATGGAGCCGTCGGCAGAGTTCCCCTATGGGCCACGAAGCGATGTACTGGGTGGGGAAGACGCATGTAGACCCTGCCACTAGGGCCGACCGTTGAACTCCCTATAGGACCACGGCATGCTTGTATGAGTGGGGAGACATGTAAACCCTGCTGCTGGAGACTTCGGTGGTGGGCGAGGGAGGCGCATGTAAACCCTGCCACTGGGGCCCTAGCTCCCCACGAGGCCGCGAAACGCTGTCGTGGGTAGGAGAAACGCATATGGATTTTTCTATTGGGGCCGTCGGTGGAGCTCCCTATGGGGCCACGAAGCGTTGTTCCCCATAGGCCACGAGGCGTTTTACTGGCTGGGGGAGACGCATGTAAGCCCTGCCACTGGGGCCGTCGGTGGAGCTCTACTGGGCGAGGGAGACGTATGTAAATCTTGCTACCGGGGCCTTCGTGGAGCTCCCTATGGGGACCCGTAACGGTGTGCTGGGTTGGGGAGACGCACGTACACCTTGCAATTGGGGCCTTCGGTGGAGGGGCCGCGACACGTTGTACTGGGTGGGGGAGACGCATGCGGACTTTGCCACCGGGGCCGTCGGTGGTGTCCCTATGGGCCACGAAACGGTGTGCAGGGTGGGGGAGACTCATGTGGATTGTGCCATTGAAGCCTTGTTCATTGACGCGGAGAGCGGAGTGTGCGGAGTGTGCCGCAATGGTTCACTGACGCGGAGAGCAGAAGCATGGAGGGAGGAGGGGGAGGCGGAGGAGGAGGGAGTGAGACGCGGGGCGCTGTTTATTCAAAACGAGGGACCAACACCACAGGATGGTTGGGAAAAACAAGTTCTGAAAAATGGGAGGCCTGATTCGTCTAACAAATGGAAGGTGGATGGGGCGGGTGCCGGATATTTAGTTTAGTCTGGCGATGGGCCACGACACGCTGTTTTGGGTGGGGGATACGCATGTGGGCTTTGCCACTGGGGCCTTCGGTGGAGCTCCCTACGGGCGACGAAACGTTGTGCTGGCCTGGCGGGGGGGGGGGGGCGCATGCGAACCCTGCTACTGGGGCATTCGGTGGAACTCCCGATGGACCACGAAACGCCGTACTGCGCGGGGGAGACGCATGTGGACTTTGCCACTGGGGCCTTCGGTGGAACTCCCTTTGGGCCACGCAACGCTCTGCTGGACGGGGGAGGCGCGTGTAGATTTTGCCAGGTCGACGTGCAGATGGCAGAGGCAGGGATGGAAGAAGGGAGGAGGGGAGGAGGAGGGAAGGAGGAAAGGAGAGAAGGAAGGACGGAAGGAAGGAAGGAGGGAAGGAGACGCAGGGATTGTCTCTTCATAGGATGGTTGGGAACATGACCCTGGCGAAGGACAAAACCAGATGCAGGTGTGAGTAACGCAGTTGTGAGTATCCTTCTCGGCGGCCACGAAGCGAGAGGTGTGCCGAAGTGGACGTGCGGCGGCCGTGGGGCCGCCGGTGAGCCCTGCCAGTGGGACCGTCGGTGGAGCTCCTTATAGGGCCACGAAGCGTTGGAGGGGTGTGCCGACATTCACCACCCACCAAACAACCCCAACCCAACCCGAAGGCTCAGATTTACCTTCGATTTCCAGTGGGGGGGTGTCGGGAAACATCGAAAAAACACATGTGGAACCCTTACCCCCCCCAACCCGAGATTCGGGTCTTCGGGTTGGGTTGGGGTGGTCTGGTAGGTAGTCAGACATGGACATGCGGTAGGCGGGGAATCGCACGCGAACCCTGCCACTCGGGCCGTCGGTGGAGCTTCCTACGGGGCCAAGACGCGTGCGAAGGGGTGTACCGAAATGGACATGCGGTGGGCGGAGAACCGCGTGCGACCGCGACCGCTGGGGTCTTCGGTGGAGGTCCCCCTATGGGGCCACGAAGCGTGTGAGGGGTGTGCCGGCATGGACATGCGGTGGGCCGCGTGCGAACGCGGCCGCTAAGGTTTTCGGTGAAGCTCCCCATGGGCCACGAATCGTGTAAGGGATGTGCCGGCATGGACATGCGGTGGGCGGGGAACCGCGTGCGTGGGGCCACGAAGAGTGTGAGGGGTGTATCGACATGGACATGCGGTGGGCCGGAACGTGTGAGGCGTGTGCCGGAACGGACATGCAGTGGGCGGGGAACCGCGTGTGAACGCGGCCGTTGGGGCCTTCGGTGGGGCTTCTTCTCGAGCCACGAAACGTGTGAGGGGTGTGCCGAACAGATTGACATGCGGAGGGCAGAGGGAAGATGAAGGGAGGAGGGAGGAGGAGGGAGGTGAGGTGACGCAGTGCGCTCTCCTTACAAACGAGGACCCAACACCATAGGATGGTTGGGACACGGTTATTAAGGACTAGGGCGATACATACATACATTCCTTTTCGAATATTCTTGTATCGGAAAACCCTCCCTGACCCCCCCCCCGTACATAAATTCGGCCCTGGGCGCCATCCCCGGACGGTCCCGCAAAGCCCCAGGGCGGCCCAAGACCGCTCCAGAACGGCTCATGAGCACTCAAAGAGGCCTCAAGGTGGCTTCAAGACGGCCCAAGATGCTGTCAAGACGCCCCAAGAGGTCCGCAAGAAGACCCCCAAGAGGTCAAAATCGCCCCATTCCCTTCGGAGAACGTACATTTTTAGCAGATCCGCTTCTTTGACCTTCATCGCGTCCAAGACGGCCCAAGGGGTCCCCAAGATCGCCCAGGACGGCCCAAGAAGTCCCCAAGGGAGCCCCAAGACCGCCCAAAAGCGTTTCAAAACGACCCAAGAGAGCCTCAAGACGGCCCCAAAGAGCACCAAGAGGCTTCCCAGAGAGCCCCAAGAAGGCCGCGGGAGGCCCCCAAGAAGGACCAAGAGGGCCCCAAGACGGCCCAAGCCCCCAGGACGGCCCAAGAGGGTCCCAGGACGGCCCAGGAGGGCCGCCACACAGCCCAAAAGAGCTTCAAAAGGAGCCCCACGAGAGCCCCGAGAGGCCATACCCCTATCAGCCATATGAGGCCTCTCGCCCCCACAATCCCTACGACCACTACGGTGCGTCATGGTGCCCCATGAGCCCTGTGAGGCCTGAGAGCCCTATGAGCTTTATGAGCCCTATGAGCCTTATGAGCCCGATTACCCCTATGAGCCCTTAAGCCCTATGAGCCCTATCAGCCTTATGAACCCTAT